CATAGAAAGGGCCCCTCTCTCAGGGATGAACAAGCTTAGAATGTTCAAGTGTGACTGTTTTAGGCTGCTGCAATGGGTTTAGAAAGTCACTCCAAAGAATAGTGGATATTTCATATAAACACATCCAACTGTCTATCAAAATGCTGGCAATAATTTCATAAAACAAGGCTATCTGCCACATCTGTTATGCTCCACACTTCTTCCTATGTCAACAACCCTCAGCAACATTTAGAGCTGCTCTTGCTAAAACCATTCTAAGTGAGCAGTGATATAAGTCAAAGTAATGTGGATAATCTCACAGGGTTAGAAGATCCTACATTATCAACTACTGTTTAATTAGTACTGAACAGGCATGATGATACTGGATCTCAATCAACTGGAGATGAGAAAGCAGCCAGAAAAGGAGGGCATTGCACATATGAGATGAAGTGCTGCACACTGCTTGAAGAAAAGTGCAGAGGCAGCCCTGGGACAGGGAAACAGACAAATAGAGTAAGCAGACAGAATTGAGGTAAACTCTGCTGGCAGAAGGAGCAGCTTATGTAATGACCAGACAAGAAAGAAAAGCCAGAGCTGTAACTCTAATTTAATCTGGGGAACGTGCCAAAGAATTGTATCACTGACATTTTTAAGACCCCTGGGCCTGTTCTGTACACAGTGGTGAGCAGAAAAACCCTTCAAAGGATGGTAAGAAAACAGGAGGCATTCTCAAGCAGATCCTGATAGTGCTACAGGAAGATCACTGCTCTGAAATATAGGTGGCAAACAGCCATGGGCAACAGCTGACCATGACATTTTCAGCAAGTTTTTGAAGAAAAGGTAGCTCTTTCTTTTCCCTCAAGTAAGATTAGAATTTACCTGCAGTAACTGCTTCCCAAAAACAGCTATTCCACATTTAATGGCCTCTACACTTCACACTGGGAAAGCAATGTGTGGTTGAAAGGATGTCCCAGACATCAAGGCAGCATCTTGCTTTCTACAGAAAACCCATTCAGCTAATTAGACAAAACCCTAACTGTCCATTCTTGAAAACGCTTTTCAAAAGTTTATTGCTAAGAAATTCTTATCTTGTCTGTAGTTAGTATACTCTCCAGACCTCCAAGTTATTTCCCATTTGTACTGGACAATCATCCCAGTTTGGACTCCAACCCAGACAAAAGTAACACCCCGTCTACAGAGCAGCTGTTGGACTGGAAGCCTGGAGATGACCATGAGTTAGATTTCTTCATTCTAATATCCACAGCTCTCCATACTTTACAATCCCATATTCTTGAGAAAGTTCTGTTGAAGAGTCACCTGAAACTGCCATCCTCAGCAAGCTGACCAAATTTACACCCAAAAATTTTGAGCAAAGCTAGGAATGGATGTCTGTCATGGATATGACAGATTTGTCCTGGGCCAGCATATTCTTACCATAATCAGCACATCAGTCAACATGGAATTGCAGGTTTCACCAATTCCAAAAACACAGAATAAACCTTATGGTTCAAGTATTTGACATGGATGTCCATCAGTGCTTTCTAAGTCTACAGAACTACTCCAAGTAGGTGAGTAAAGCAAGTTCAACCAAGAGAAGTTAAATTAGCAGTGCAAACAGCTGCTCCTCTGTGTGCAGAGGTGCCAACGAGGGCTCAAAGTTCAATACTCAGAGCATTACAATTCAGAGATGTTGCCAAACAAGTACTTGTGACAAGTGATTTAATGAATTCTCTTTCTGCAATCACACTACTAAAGCTCAAAACCAGAATGAGGCAATATTTAGGAAGATGCAAATTATAGCAGAACTGAGAGGATTTTACTTGCATTATAACTGATTTTGAACAGTGTCATCTTCAAATTCTCAAATCTATTAGGTCTCCAATCCAGCAAAGGACATAAGCATGTTCTTTAGCTTTAAAATATTCAGACCCTTGGAAGGCTAATTGACCAGTCACAAATATCAATGTGTCCTTTCCTTCAGTATTTTACTAGCCTGGGCCACAGAATGTCCAAGAGTATTCTGAGCACACGCAGACATACTGAAACCAAGTGTGCACAGTCTGGTTTTTTGCTTACATAATTTATTTATATAGTAACTTTCAAAATGCTTCTATACAACAAGAATGTTCTTTAAAGAAAAGAAAAATACAACTGTTAGACAATGTCAGTATCTAAAAGATAATCAGCAGAAAGACTGAGAAGGACAAAAGGTTTATCTTTCTTTTTCACTCATTAAATAAAATGAGCTTTTAAATTGGCTGTTTCCTTTTCACACTCAGTTTGCTGAAACTAATTTTCACCTCTAGATCCTTAAGCCCTTCCAGGATCTTTAAAATTCTGTCTCTTTGTCAGCACATGTTCATAACACCAATGTTCAATGCTAAAAGTCAGCAGGTTTTCAACTGACAGGGAGATCTTAATCAACAATTTAACTTAATGGACATCAAAAAAACCCCTTAAAAATAAGAGGTTTTCATGATCAGATACATTAAAATTATTCTGCACTCATTTAGCTATTATTAATAATAGCCTTATTAATAAGAAATAGCCTTATTTTTCTAGAGATTGTACAGGTTCATAAATGAGCAATGCCTGACGCAAATATTGAACACAAGCAATTTCTTTTCATAAATATATACAGGAGTAGAACAAAACAAACATTTAATAAATACATTTAACAGTAAATGTCTTCAGGATTTTGTCTGTGGAGAATAGGAATTAAGAGAGGAAAAATCACTCACTGAACTAACTTTTCTGTCTTTTCAGTTATCTTAAGAGGCAAATGTAATTTTTTTCCCATGTACTATGCTATGTACTTGCTATGTACTTAATTACTATTCACAAAAAACAGCATTGTCCATTATGAAAGACTAAAGGAATAAAATAAACACACAGAAAAAGTGCTTGTAAACTAAAACAAACAGTTGCAACAAAATTCTTGCTTCCACAAAGCCTAGCAATGAAACCTGTCAGAAGCTGGACAGTCAAATTTTGCAAAGGAAATTAAAGCAAATTAAAAACAAGACAGAAAGAAAAACACAGAAATGTATTATCTAACTCTGTCTCAAAATTAAATTATTTTGCCTCAGAACTTGAAGGCAAATGAGGATAGATGAGCAACAGCTTTAGAAACAGAAATTGCCACATATGAGCTGGAGGTGAGAGCTGAACAGTCAAATCCAGCAGATCAGATGATGCTAATTCTAAAATACTGAGAGTTTACCACGCATGTCATGCTACAGAAATCTGGTATCCTTCCTGATGGCAGTCTGCAAGGAGCACAAGAACTTGAAATCCAAGCAGAGTAGTCAGGGGAATGGAAACCAAACCTTAGAGAAGTGAGGACCTTCACTATCTGTTCATTCCATGTAAATACATCTGCAAGGAAAGGTGTAGGAGTGAACAAGACAACTGTTGTAGGTGAAAATGTAATTTGGGAACACCAGACCAAAGAAGTATGACCTACAAATCCTACAAATCTGGAACACCTTCTCTGTAGTGCAATGGGATGTACTGTGATAATAGATCATGCCTGATAATTCTGTAACCATGATTCAAAAGGAAAGTTGCCTCTGCTAGAATAAAATGTGTTATGGTCTAGGTAGGAGCTATTTTCCAGTCACAGGATGTAACTCAACTGTAACCAGGTATTTCATCAGAAGTAATCTCCTTCTCCCAGGACAGAATGCTAAAAATGGTCCTTTTGGTTACTGAGTTAAGTGAACAAAATAATTTCAAGCTTTTAATTAAAGATTAATGTGTCAGAAGCAGATAAATGAGGAAGAGATATTTCCTAGGAGTACAAGGCACAGACTTGCAGCTGCAGACATGCACAGTTGAGCTTAAGTTGCCTTACACCCCTTCCCAGTAGGAATGAAACAGGGGCTTCTACTGAAAAGTGTAATTAACAAGAAACTTTTAACTTTTATATAAATAATTAATTTCTGTGGTCTTGGGGATGAAAGAATTCAATATATTCAATGTATTTCTATGCATTGCTTATGACAAAGTAGGAGAGATGGTGACTGCTAAAGCAGAGAGGAAATGGAACTGGTTACAAGAGTTTTACATCAAAGGGACTCCCCAGGTGACTGTTCAGACAAGCTTTCCATTTCCTCTTCCTGATAGAAATGGCATGTCAATTGTCTCTGACAGCAGTATGGATAAAAAGGTGAAAGGAGAGAGAACTATCACACCAGACAAAGAGAAAAACATGAATCTTGATTGTACATAATCCTTGGCTTAGTTGAGTGCAAGATTTATAATGAACAGCAGAGCTTTTCTTTCAGGAGATTCTTGTTCTCCACTCTTTATTAAAACTATCAGGGGTTTGGAGCTTTAAAGTTTTTATTTTTCCCTAGTGAAAACATTAACACAGATCCAAGATAGGGAAATGGGTCAGCTAATGTTTGTCCTTGAAAAGTATCTTCGCAGTGCTCCTTTTCTTATGAAATAGCAATGACAAGACTGTTGGCAATAATTGGAGATTTAAAGTACCCCACTTTGGAAATGTTGAAATTGAAGCACCCTAAAAAAGGCCTGATTTTCAGGAGAGACAGCATTTAAAAACCTGCAGCCCCTAACAGGTGTCTCAAGCTTTGTATTCAAGATCTTTAGCATTATTTTAATATATTTTGCCCTGAATGTCAAATAAAACACACACAAAGAAGCAGTATGATAATGAACACTCATTTTATTCAGCCACTTGAGAGACCTTCTCCATCTCATTCAGCAATGTTAAAGTTTCTACAAAGCTGTAGGGTAACAATCACTGGAACACAATTAGTCTTGGCTGTCACAAAAGCAAGGACAATGTTTGCCTGCTATTTATGCTTTCACTGAATCTATAATTTAAATGAAATTTTTCATTTAAGTGAAATGATTGTAATGAAAATACCCTGGCCAGGCCAGAAGAGCTATAATAAAGATTGATATTAATAGTAACTAAGTTAAAATACATAGGTCTGGAACTTATCTGCCCCAGATGATTCAGAATGCAATACAAGAGAGAATATACTTACTGAAACTTTCCACAAGGTCAAGGGCAACCTGAGTAGCCACATCCATTCCAGAGTTGATGTAGGACTGGCAGTTTTTCAAAGAAGAAAGAGCAGAATCAATTGCATTGAACGAGACTCTTGGACCACCTGACATCTTGAAATTGTCACTCTAGAAACAACAGGGAGAACAAATTAAAAGCAGTTTGCACACAATGAATTTGGGAGAGAAAACATAAGTTCTAATAGATAGCTAAATATAAAGCAGAGTCAACAGAATCACTGAAGCATTAGAGAGCAGGGATGAAAACCTAGCTCCCAAGATGTCAGTAATTTCAGGGAAGTGCAATTCATCACAGGTTTTCAATTCACCTCCTATTCAGTATTAAGCAAAACTACACCACTAAAAGCAACTGGCATTTTCCTCTGTTCATTTCTACCACTAAACCACAGTGAAGTTCAAAGTCCACAATTACATCTGCTTGAAAACCACTGCTCTATTTCAGATCCAAAAGATCCAAAAAAGCCCACATGCCCAAAAACTTGTCTGGGTTATCTAAACATGTAATCAATTAGCCTAGGAAGAAATATGGTTTCTCACATTCTATTTAGTGAGAATAGTCACCATTCTATTTAGTCACCAGCAGCTGGCCCTTGGAAAAAAATAATCTAACAAAGGGTCACTTTACTAAGAATGTACTTAAAACATCAAGCATAATTTTTAAATAAAAGCCCACTTTTAAAATGCTGCCTACTTCTGCCAAAGATGCTACAAACTTTTGGTACCCATCTTCCATTAGCACAAAACAAAGTCACCCAGGTACCACTGTTTATCTTCTTTACCACCCTCTGGCTCTGCAATACACACCCACAGCCTACACCCTTGTGGGGATTAGCTGCTCTGTCATTAGTAGAACCTTTAAGTGTTTTTGCTTATGCTGTGCCTATCCACACTGCTCACAGCCATGAATTTCTTCTCAAAAAATCCCCAATTTCTGCTCTTCCTTCTTCATGCTTTGCCATAACCCACTCACTCACATAGCTACTCTGAGAAACATGAACCTGGTGTGAAGAATTTTATACTTCAAGTTGCAGATTAGAAAAATTCTGCTTCAGCTTTAGATACACCAAAAAACCCCATTAAAATAGACACAGCAAAGGAGAACTCTTAGACAGACAGAAATACTGCATTAGTCTATGTAAAGAATAACTAGTATGTTGAAGGACTATACTGAGACGCCATTGGGGGAGATAGAGAGCAGAATCCACAAACGAATCTGGGGTATACCAGAGGGAGAAGGCTATAATCCAACAGCAATCTGGAAAACATGTATAGAAAGTAAAGTGCTTTTCCCAGGTTTGTATACCTAAGGCTGTATCTCTCTCTACTGCTTTTCCTGAGACTCCAGAACTACACCTTGTGCTCCCCCTAACATGAACATTGCCACATGCCTCACAAGTACCATGCAGACTATGAGACCTGAATACCTGCAGTCTCCTAATGTTTATTTCCTATAATTTTCCATTTTTTCCATTTATAAAATGTTCTTGGCCAGTCAATCCTATCTTTTAGTACACCATCTTTAGGTCATGTGGTTCCAGCAACATTTTAACAAGAGTTCAACCTCACCATAAATTGAACTTCTTAATTACATGCAAATTTGTCTTCCTCTCTATCCCCTTCTAAAGGTGCATCTTTCCATAGATGCAGCAGGCTTCAACTACAGCTCTTGTTATGTCAGCTCATGTTCTCCCTGACAGAAGACTGTGACTGCTATCATTAAAGATCTTTAGAGCTGTCAAACTGACAAAAGAAGACAAGGGAAAAGTTCCATATAGAACTCCCTGGAAGTAAAGAAAAAGGATGCTCTTGAATATTTAATTACAAATACCTTCAGCTAGTATATTATTGAACTTTTTTTAAGGTACTTGTTTGCTATCTTAGCAAGACTGTTTGTATAGAACCTCTGTGATCTAAACTTACACTACTGAATAGTGACATAAAACCATGTTAGCAGCTTTATCTTTCTGAGCCCATTCTGTGTACCAAAGCTAACAAAAAGAACATAATTCCCCTCTTGAATTTGGTAAATCTCATTGAGAAAGCCTGCTGTTCTTTTGGAAATTTCACAGATACACACTGTGAAAGCAGGAATCTGAAAAAAAAAAAAAAAACAGTGAAAAGTTAAAAAGGCTCCTTCATTCTCATGAGCAAACTACACAGGAGCAGAAGTTACTGGTTATGACATTAAATCATATTATTGCAGTGGTAGGTTCACCTCAATCTGTCTTTTGGAAAGTAATTTCTTCTGGATGAATTTTCCTTTTTTTGTTTTTTAATAAAAGATTATTTTTCCCAGAAACTGGTTACAATCCTGTAATGCCCCAGCCTACCTGAGGGGTTCATAGGAAGGCAGTGGGATATACCCTGGGCAGTGCATGGGAAAAACAACCAAATTACCAGGAGACTCAACAACAACTTTTATTTGCAAGCTTTAGAACTTTCAAGTAGAATAAGGTACTTGGCAAATTTCAAAACATCCAGACAAAAATAAAGCACTTCCCAAACTTTAGCTCAGCAAACTCTTAAGTTCTCCAGACACAAGAAGACACTGGAAGTTTTCAGTCTGACTTACAACACATTTTGAGAAGAGTGTGTAAGAAAACCAGAGAAAGAAAGCAAAAGAAAATGGGGAGAGAAAGGCAAATGGCCACCACCCCAGGATTCAGCTTTGTCTCAGCAGCTTCTAAACCCCTGGCAGTGGAGCGTGTTTGGCACATGTGTTGCTTTGCTTTTATCTCCTATGCTCTGCCACTTCTGGGCTTATAGGTCCTGTTCCCCCATCACTTCCCAGCCGGCTCTTTTGAGCCAGTCCGCTGTTCCTCAGCTCTCCTATAGATCCCAAGGAAAAGATTTCACTCTTGAACTTTCTAAGTGAGTTCTTCAACTTCAGCTTGGAGCTGTCCATTCTGCCTTCCAAGGGAGGGGCACATTCCTCCTTGGAACTGCTGTCACTGCAGTGTTTCCATCACACTCTTTTCTGCCAAGAAATGGAAGGAAACTTCAATGGGTGCCTCAAAGCACCCTTATGATGTGCAACCCCCAGCCCCTCACTTCTGGAAAACACAACCAGCAAACTCCGTGCTGAATGGGAGACTACTGAGGACTTTTTTTTTTTTTTTTCTTTCAGCAAGTGATAAAATGGCCCAGACAGGAAAAAGAACAAAAAAAAAAACCCTACAGTTTCTATTCTGTTCGCTATTTTAAATATTTGAGGACATTACCTAACTTTCTATGCTTCAATATCTCAAACTACGAAGCAGAGGTAAGAAAAAAGTATTATTTGTTTCTGTAAGAGCAGCCCTACAGGTGTCAAGTGCTCTGTGAGCACCAGGATCAGGGTCCAGCCCCAGGCACACTCGGGGATGAGCGGCCCCAGGGAGACCCTTCCCTGTACGGGCGTGGGGAGCAGCGCCCGCCAAGCCGGAGGCCCCGCGCTCCCAGGGCCGCCTCACCCGCTCCAGGGCAGGCCGGGCAGGCCGGGCAGTCCCGCACCGAGACACGGCCCCGCACCCGTCCCGCCACCGCTCCCGGGCCCTCGGAGGAGACGGGGCCGGTAGGGACAGCCACGCTCGCCAGCGGCCGCTGCTCACCTCGTCCCCGCAGCCCGAGAGTGCGGCTGTCCCAGGAGCGGCCTCACGCCGCCCTCCCGGCGGTACAGGCAGGCGGGCGGTAGCGCCGGGCTCCGGGGCAGGCGGAACCGCCTCATCAGCCGGCGCCGTCATGTGATAGGAGGGCTCGGCTACGTCGTAGGGAGCGCCACCGCCTCCCTCCCATCCTTCCCACTCTCCCTCCATCCTTCTGTTCCCGCAGCCGCCGCCGTCCCTGCCTGCGGGCGCTGCCGGGGCAAGGTGAGCGCACCGGGCGGCGCGGGTGCCGGTGGGAGCCGCTGAGGGAGCGAGGCCGCCCGGGTGCAACTGTGAGTTCGGGGGGGGGCGGGACCGGAGCGGAGCGGAGCGGGTTCGGAGCCCGTCCGGCCGCCGCCGTCCGGGGCCCGCTGTGCGCCCTGTGGAGCAGAGCTTGCAGCGGCACTGGGGACCTGGGAGGGCTCCGGGCGCTCGCTCTGGGTCGGAACTGTCTTGGGACAGCTCACTGTCATCTGAAATGTATCGCAGTGGTTCGGGAAGTGTTTGCTGAAAAGTCAAACCTGGTCATGACTTCCCGTAAATGTTTCTGAAGCACAGACGCGTATTTTTGGTGCTGCACGTCGTGTCCCGCAGGAAACGTGGGAACGAATGAAACTGAGCAGGAAACGCGAGCACAGCATGGAAGCTCGTCCTTCAGCAATAAATGAAGGAACAGAGCTGTGTCATTTCCATCTGCTATGAAAGTTTTCCTTATTGCTAAAACTCGTTATGATCACTTTGGTTGTATTTTTAAAGGAGCTCCTAAAAACACATTTTGTGAAGTAGTTCTGCTTTCCTTGGGCCCAATCTCCTCACCTGGTCATAATTGCTTCACTATTTGTGACTGTTTCATTCTTCAATAGTGTTCTTCAGCTGTTCTCCACACGATCACACTTCCCCTGCCTGCTCACACAGGTCACTTCTCAAACTCAGTGTACATGCTGAAAATTAATTCTGTGCATTTCTTTCATTTTACAAAGCTGTGGATAATTTAGATTTCATAATTTGAAAGATTGGAGAGTATGCTTAAATATCCACAAATTAAACTATCAAAAACACGAATATAAACCACTCTGGATGTGTGTGTGTTTGTTTTTACAGGTTATTAATGGCGCAGCTGGTTTCTTCATCAGGATTTCTACTTGCAGTAACCTAAAGAGTAAGGATCAGAATCAGACTGCAGGACTTCTGCTGCTCTGGCACGTCCAGCTCCACAATGGTGGATTTTCTGGCTGAAAACAATCTCTGTGGTCAAGCAATTCTTCGGATTGTTTCCTGTGGAAATGCCATCATTGCAGAACTTCTGAGGCTTTCTGAATTTATTCCTGGTGTTTTCAGGCTAAAGGACAAGGCTGATCAGCAGAAGTATGGAGATATCATATTTGATTTCAGTTATTTCAAGGTAATCCTTTTATTGTTCAACCTCTTAAAGCATTGCTGTCCCACACGAGGATGTTTTGGGTTGTGAAACAGCCATTCCTGACTATTGTGTTTATTACTACTACATCTTGCAAAATGAGTCATCTGGCCTGTGAATTTTGATAGATACCAATTATATAAAATGTGAGTATTGGATTCCGGGGAAGTAGTAGTAGTAGTAATTCCTGCAGGAGCACTAAATTAAACTTCCTCCAGTAGGTTCTGAGCCTGCATGGTTGGTTGTTTTCCTTCAGAGCAGTACTGTGGGCAGTATGCCCATCTTTCTTCTGTTAATCTGTAGCTTATTCTTTGCAGCCATGAAAACTGCTTTCTGCTTTCCTGTCTGACAGTGCTGTGATTGTTCTTCCTCTGAACTTGTCACATGCACTGAATAAATAAATAAATAAGTCAAGGAGAAGTATCCATGGAAAGTCTTTATTTCCCTTTCAGAATTAGGCTTGCAGTACTAAGTTCCCTCTGTCATTTTCCAGCATGATTAAGAAGGAACAACAGAGACTCTAATCTGACTTTATTTGGACTGTACAATACAAGAAATGGTAATAATAAAGCAAGAGAGGCACTTCTAAAATTTAATTCTATTTCATTGTAGTAAAAGTTGTAAATTTGAGGCACTGTGAGGCTTAGATACTGAAAATCCACAGCACAAATGATTTCACAGTTACCTTTAGATCTAAATGCTTGGTAGAAGTCTTTTTTTTTGTAACACAAATTACTTGAAAATTTAAAAGCAGATAGCTGTAATTGGTGAGAAATACAGTAATCCTTAAAGCCTCAGTATTTTTGAATGTTAAGAAAGCATAAGTGTGCTGTTTAAACCAAATAAATCCACAGAAGTCATACTGATAAAGCAGAGATTAGAGAATTTGTAGATATTTTTACTGCAAATGCACCCCTTCTGTATACATGCTTGGTTTGAAAAGACAGGTGTGTGCAAAGGAAGGCAAGAGCCTCCCCTAAAATAGAAAATGTAAACCTTCTCCCTCCAAATTGTTACAAATTTGAAATTAAGGGGGGCTCTCAGGTAATGATATAGGAGCAGGAATAACAGTTCTTCATTAGGGAAGAAAATAAAAACAAAATAAATAATGCAGTAAAACAAAACAACACTGACAGAGTCAGAATATGACCTGACACCCTGTGGGTCAGGGTGTTGGTAGCAGTCCAGTTGGAATGGTGGCTGCAGCCCTCCTGGAGTGGCAGATGTGGTTCTGTTGGAGCAGTGATGCTGTAGAAAGGTGTAGTCTTCCTCTAAAGAACCAGTGGAAGAGGCAGCTACACCTCTGGGAATCCAATGGAAAGGCTGCCCTGCTGTCCCAGAATCTCAGATTATATCCAGGTGGGAATGCTTGGCTCCTCCCCCTGGGTGGAGCATCTCACAATGAGATGCTGTAGTTTGTAGCAGCCATGGGGAGACACTCGCTGGCCCATTAACAGCAGATGCCTCCCCGAGGGAGGATTGGTGTGTGGAAGAGATAAAGAAAACTGCCCAATTAACAGAAGATAACCACCACACCTCTAACAGATGGCAAATAGAATACACATTGGCTTGCAATCTAGGACAATGCACAATTCTTAGAATTAATGAATGAGGAGAGATTTGAGATTTGAAAAGTTGAAACTATTTACTTTGTCCATTTGAACTATAATGGCAGTTTGGCACCTGCTTTTATCCTTTGTTTTATGTAGATATTTTGCACACAAAGAGAAGCAGAAGAGTATTTGTTAAAACTCAAATTGTCAGTTGGGTATTTTCAATAACATTCTAATAATACTTCCAATGAAACTTTAGCATTATTTTCATTTAGTTGGTGATGGTAAGGTTGCATGGTGCTTATGAGAAATATCACAGTGGTAAAGGGTTAGGAAAGTTGTATTATTGCTTTAAGGAAGTCAGGTTCTTCATCCCAACTCCTTTTCCCCCATGATTGTTAATGAGAAAGTTTCTGCATTAATTCAGGAGACGAGTGCTGAGCTAGATGTAGAGTCTGTGGAAAAAACATGTCTAATATTTTCAAGCAGTTTGAAGGTATGAGAAGGTACTAAGCTTTGTGACCCCTCAATGTTATAGTTTCTATCTGAGAAATCAACCAGAAGAAATGTGTAAAGGAAAAAATTCCATCAGGGAGATAGCACTACAGAAAGCACCCAGTGCTTTCAGATGTAGTGGGGCTTTACTGAAAGCATTGGCTATTCTTTTCCATTGGTTATATTGGATAAATCATATTTAAAGTCATTACAGATTGTAACAAAGTGTAAAACTCATCTTTATGGAATCAATATTTAACCATAAAGTAGGTTAGAAAACTACAGATCCTTGTTTTGGTAAGAAATGGTAACTGGTTTGCACACGGGGATGGTTGTACATGGTCTGTGTCCTACTGTAGAGAAGTCAAGTGGAGATCAAAGTCAAGTATTATCTCTAAAGGTGAGTTTCTGTTTTTCAGGGGCCTGAGATATGTGAAGGCAAACTGGAAGCCAAGCCTGAGTTACTGGATTTAGATGAAGAATTTCGTGAAAACAACATTGAAATTTTGACAAGATTTTATTTAGCTTTTCAGAGTGTACATAAATACATTGTAGATTTAAACAGGTATGGTGTCTTATATACATATGGATTTTCAAAGATCAGATTACTGTTTTGTCTTATTGATGAGAAGCTTTTTCCTTAGAGACCAAATATACTCCTTGTTGAAGCATATTCCAGCTAACCTGGGTTGCTAGAGTGAACACTAATGTTTACTCCCACGGTTTCCTACCAGGGAACTGTGGGAGTAATATATGACTTGAAAACATTTAACCTCTCTACCTCAATTCCTCAATTGTAAATTTGAGTTAGTTTTTCTTTATCTTAGAGATTGTCCTGAAGATTTTTTTTTAATAAAAGGAGAATCCATATGATTAAGCTATTTTTTTTTTTGTCTTGCAAAACAGAATATCAGATTGTTTGGGTTTTTTTTAACTTTCATTGGCATTATTTTCTTGAACTTAATTTTTCAGTGAAGTTGCCATATTCTCAAGTTTGCCTCTCTGACATGTAAAAAACAAAATTAAACTTCATTAAATGCTGTAAGAAAAAGTTACTGAGAATCTTAAACATGAGAGTTGGTCTTATTATTGATGTTATATGAAAATATCAAATATTTGATATTACTTATTAAGTAATGTTACTGGAAAATCCTTTATAGGAATAAATCTTCTGTTAATTCAGGTGAACATAATCTATTTCTGGCTCTACCTTCCAAATTGCCATTGAGATCAATTTATGGTATTTCCAGGAGGTATACTTAGGTAACTTGAAAATATGACAGTTTTACTACATTATTGCATGGCAGCCTTCCCAGGCTGTATCCACCCATAAGAGGATGGAGCTGTAAGCTGCCAGGTATCCTACAGTGTCTTTCACATACACCATCAGCATATGGAAGGAAACTTTTGCCAACTGGTTGGCACTAGCTAGGGGTTCCAGTCTCTCTTTTTTAGGAGAGCCTTTCTTCTTCTTTGTCTGAAAAATACCATGCTGCTTGTTCTAGGGAAATGTTCTGATGCATCTGTTGACTTTCAGAGAAAATGTCACTGATTGAGTTCTATTTTGAGAGCAAAACAGTCAATGACCAAAGTTTTTGTCGTGATTCCTAGATACTTAGATGACCTCAATGAAGGAATTTACATTCAGCAAACATTAGAAACCGTCCTCCTTAATGAAGATGGAAAACAGCTTCTAGTGAGTATTG